CATTGCAAGATTGACAGTTACAAGTGTGACTCCCAAAGGCAGAGGCATGATGGGACTTGTAGTTTCGCAACAGCTGGAGGGCCACCTGTTTGACACCCCTGCTCTATATGGTAACCTAGGCTGGTGACCGGTCCTCTTTATGGAGCCATCAGGGATCTAGTAGACTCCCAATGTCCCTCCCGCTCTGCAGTGCAGCTAATCAAGCACAGATCATGTTAGATCAGCTGCAGCCTCAGCTACAATACATGTCAGCTCTGGGTTCATCAGTTATGGGGAATGGGGGGGGGGGGGGGTGGTGGTAAATCGGGAAATGATGGTCCCCAGTTATCTTCTGTTATCACTGTAGGAGCCATTTCATGTGGTCCTAGGCTCCCCGCAGGAACAAAAGGGCCCGGTAACCGCCGCAGCCTTGAGCTTGCTTTAACCCCTTGCATATCATTTATAAAAAGATACCTCGGTAAATAAGGGGTTAAATGTGAAAATGTAAAAAAAAAATTGCCAGCTAGGGTGTCTGTGACAGAAGAAGTTCTATTGGTCTTCCCCTTCTCCCCGCCTCTCAGCATACACTGAGCCACGCATGCGTGGGGCAGCACAGTGGCTAAACGGTTAACACTGGAAGTACTCGGGTCGTCGGTTCGAATCCCAACCACAGCACCACCTGCCTGGAGTTTTCACGTTCTCCCTGTGCCTGCGTGGGTTTCCTCCAGGGGCTCCGGTTTCCTCCCACACTCCAAAAAGGTTACTTGGATCCTGTCTAAATTGTCCCTAGTATGTGTATGTATGAATGTGAGTTAGGGACCTTAGATTGTACGCTCCTCGGGGGCGGGGACTGATGTAAATGTACAATATATGTGTAAAGCGCTGCGTACATTGATGGCGCTATATAAGTACCTGAAATAAATAAATGCATGGGAGTGACGTCATCGTGACCCAGTCAATCCAGCGGCCGAGAGAGAGGTGGAACCTGGAAGAAGGACAAAGGAAGATGGCAGCGCCTGTAACTGATGGCAGAGCCAACAGCAGGGGGATCAGTTGCCAGGTACAGTTGTGTCCAAAATTATTCAACCCCCAATGCTGTAAAGGGGTTTAGGGACTATAGTGTACATTTGGAATTGTATTCAGAATCAAATCCTACAAGGACGTTGTAACTACCCAAATGCAACTAAAATGACATCAATTGTTTATGTAATACAGTAGTAAATGGTTCTTATGTGGTTTCTTCATTGCCACAATTATTCAACCCCTTAAAGACTACCACTCTGAAGAACAGAGGTTCATACAGGTGCTTTCCATCAGGTATTGAAAACACCTGTGGATGTCACCGAGCAGCAATCAAGCATAATAAGCACCAATTAGGCAGCTTTAAAATGACTGTGATACTCAGCGCCTTCTAGACATTTACTGGTGTGGTTACAAACATGGTGAAGGCAAGAGAATGGTCCAGGAAGACAAGAGAAGAGGTGATTTCTCTTCACAGGAAGGGCAATGGCTATAAGAAGATTGCAAAGATGTTAAACATACCAAGAGACACCTTAGGAAGCATCATTCGCAAATTCAAGGCAAAGGGCACTGTTGAAACGCTACCTGGTCGTGGCAGAAAGAAGATGCTGACTTCGACTGCTGTGCGCTACCTGAAGCGTAGAGTGGAGAGAAGTCCCCGTGTGACTGCTGAGGAACTGAGAAAAGATTTGTCAGATGTGGGTACAGAAGTTTCAGCCCAGACAATAAGACGCACACTGCGTAATGAAGGCCTCCGTGCCAGAACTCCCAGGCGTACCCCCTTGCTGTCTCCAAAGAATAAGAAGAGTCGACTGCAGTATGCCAAAAGCCATGTGGACAAACCACAAAAGTTGTGGGATAGTGTTCTGTGGACTGATGAAACAAAATTAGAACTGTTTGGGCCCATGGATCAACGCTATGTTTGGAGGAGGAAGAACAAGGCCTATGATGAAAAGAACACCTTGCCTACTGTGAAGCATGGTGGAGGGTCAATCATGCTTTGGGGCTGTTTTGCTTCTGCAGGTACAGGGAAGCTTCAGCGTGTGCAAGGTACCATGAATTCTCTTCAGTACCAGGAGATATTGGATGGAAACGTGATGCAGTCCGTCACACACCTGAGGCTTGGGAGACGTTGGACCTTTCAACAGGACAATGATCCCAAGCATACCTCCAAGTCCACTAGAGCATGGTTGCAGAGGAAAGGCTGGAACATTTTGGAGTGGCCATCGCAGTCACCAGACTTAAATCCGATTGAGAACCTCTGGTGGGACTTAAAGAAAGCAGTTGCAGTGCGCAAGCCTAAGAATGTGACTGAACTGGAGGCCTTTGCCCATGAAGAATGGGCGAAGATACCCGTATAGATCGCTGCAAGACACTTGTGTCAAGCTATGCTTCACGTTTAAAAGCTGTTATAACTGTAAAAGGATGCTGTACTAAGTACTAAGATTGAATGTCACTTGGGGGTTGAATAAAACTGATAATGCTGTGAGCACAGAAAAGACATTTGTGGTTATTTCATTATAACTGTTATGTTATATTTGTCTGACCTACAAGTGCCTCTTTAATGTAAATGTAAGCAAGATGACTGAATGATCAAAAGCAATGTCAAACTGGCCAAAACACTCAATTTCAGTGGGGGTTGAATAATTTTGGCCACAACTGTAAGGGGTGCATACTAGGAAATTGGGCTGAAAGCTCCTGGGGGGGCCTTTTCTTTCGAGGGGGGGGGGTTAATTCTTCTTTGTGTATTTTTAATGCATTACACTTTATCAACACATATAATCGACACGCCCAACTTCATGCATTTCTACTGATTTCAATGGAAAACTCATCAAGCAAAAGCAAAGGGCCTGTAAATCATCCTCACAATCCCAGCTACACGGGGGCATTGCCTTCAGTCAGTCCCACCTGACCGGTAAGAGGGACAGTAGGGCAGGACAGGGGGTCTTACAATGATCAGCTGTAATTCGCAATGTTCAGATTGTAGGAAAACAAACTCACAGGCTCTGTCAGGAACTGACACATGACAAAGACCAGAGGTGCCGGATGACCAGTCCGGGCCTGAGCCGCTTTAGTGACACAACTGCAAACGAACGTCATTCTGCTCTGCGTCTTGTCACAGCGGTGTCACTCCCGCCTCCCTGAACAGATTGTGCTGGAATGGTGTCACTGTGAGTTTACTATTGTAGATCTGAGTCATCAGAGGGTGAGAAGACGATCGCCCCGACTTATGTGGGCTGCGCAGGAAGCTAATTTCCATCGATCGAATCCTTCAGCAGAAGGCAGATTCCTCCTCTCCAGAACAAATCAGAACTCCACCCCCAGAGACGGCTCACATTTCGGGGCTTTCCTGCTGAGTAAGCCAACATTCGAACTGGGGGAGTCCCCCCACCTAGGTCCAGAAATGCCAGCAGAGGGCCCCTCCCCCTTTACAAGAAGTGCCCAGCAGAGTCCCCCCACCTAGGTCCAGAAATGCCAGCAGAGGGCCCCCCCTTTCACTAAGGAGTGCCCAGCAGAGTCTCCCCTTACACCCAGGAGTTCCCAGCAGAGAACCCCCTTACACCCAGGAGTGCCCAGCAAAGTCCCCCTTTACACCCAGTATTCCCAGCATTGGTCCCCCCTTAGACGTGGGAGTGCCCAGCAGAGAACCCCCTTACACCCAGGATTGGCCAGCAGAGTCCCCCTATACACCCAGGATTGCCCAGCAGAGTCCTCCACCCAGGACTGTCCAACAGAGTCCTCCACCCAGGATTGTCCAGCAGAGTCCCCACACACACACAGGATTGCCCAGCAGAGTCCTCCACCCAGGATTGTCCAGCAGAGTCCCCCCACACACACAGGAGTGCCCAGCAGAGTCCCCCTTACACCCAGGATTCCCAGCATTGGTCCCCCCTTAGATGCGGGATTGCCCAGCAGAGAACCCCCTTACACCCAGGATTGGCCAGCAAAGTCTCCTCATACACCCAGGATTGCCCAGCAGAGTCCTCCACCCAGGAGTGCCCAGCAGAGTCCCCCTTACACCCAGGAGTGCCCAGCAGAGTCCCCCTTACACCCAGGAGTGCCCAGCAGAGTCCCCCTTACACCCAGGAGTGCCCAGCAGAGTCCCCCCTTACACCCAGGAGTGCTTAGAGTCCCCCCTTACACCCAGGAGTGCTTAGAGTCCCCCCTTACACCCAGGAGTGCTTAGAGTCCCCCCTTACACCCAGGAGTGCTTAGAGTCCCCCCTTACACCCAGGAGTGCCCAGCAGAGTCCCCCCTTACACCCAGGAGTGCCCAGCAGAGTCCCCCCTTACACCCAGGAGTGCCCAGCATTGATGATCTGTTCTGTGGACTGGAGAAGGGTCACACCTGGCTGATTGCCAGTGGATGTGACAGTCTTCCAGCTTGGCCGGGGTTCCTGCGGGCCAGATAAAATCTTGGAGCAGACGGGTTTTGTAGTTTGGAGATCCCGGTTATAACCAAAAAGAGAAGAAATAAAAGTAATCAGCCAGATGTGCCGTAATCAGTACAGAGGAAACCACTGATCTTGGCAAACATCGGGGGGGTGTGCTTTCAGCATGGCCGCTGGTGTGAAGAAGCCCTGACCCCAACCAGAGATGGATAGAATGGATGAGGGTTAGAACCCCTGCTTGTGCACCATTCGGCTGTTTCTCCTCATTTGATGGGTGTCACACAACAGGAAGTAAGAGAAAATCCTCCCAAGGGGGACACAGATGGCAATAACACCACGAGGTAGGTTTACCCTCACTTCCTGCCCAGGTGATGATGTCCCAAAAAATAGAAAAATCATTGAACACACTCTCCCGCTGTGGTGTAATGCGGATGTTACGTGCCTTAGCATGTTGCAGTGCCTTTAGTTTTGAACAGCACCCCAGGAAAACAGCTCGGATATACATATTGCACATATAATGGTGCATTTGCCTTTTTTTGGACATTTTGGCGCCGTGCCGGCCATTCATTTACCAAACCAAAAAAAATACTTCCTGCTAATTCTCTTCCAGAATGAGTGGATACAATGTAACAAATGTATCTATTACATACAATATGACCGCCAATTAAATGCGCCCAGCAGGGGCGGACTGACAACTCATGGGGCCCCCGGGCAATAGGGGATCATGGGGCCCCTGTGTCCTTGCCCAAACTCAAAAAAGCCTATGAACAAGGTACCAAGGACATCTCATGGGGCCCCCTACTGACCCCGGGGCCCTCGGGCAGTGCCCGAGTTTTCCAAATGGTCAGTCCGCCCCTGGCGCCCAGTGAACTGTTCATCACCATTGGATGTGAACAGAGCGCGCTCCATGAGCTCAGAGTGCATGGCGGTCATTAAGCGAGGAGTCCACTAGTGGGAGCCACACTCCACCGAACGGCACATCTCCAGGTGGTGGGGGCTTGTCATTTCCCCAACACTGGGGATAGAGTCTGGATCTTGCTGGTTGTTCAGAAGAACGAGAGCTCATCCACACCACAGCGAATATGTCCATTAAAACCCACGTTTTACATATGCAAGAAAAGTGCAGCGCTAAATGGTATATACTCCAGTCTGGTAATAATGTAAAAAAATAAATAATAAAAGCCAATTATAAAATAAAATTGGTGACAGTTCGTGGCAGGTGTCTGGTACAGGAGTCGATAGTGACTTCAAGATCCAGTGATGTGGTGATAAATAGTAAAAATACGCACTCACCAGATGCATATCTTTCAATACGCATATAATCAATGTAACCAGAGGTCCCCCTCATGGGCAGGGGCGTATCTACCGTGAGGCAAACAAGGCGTTTGCCTAGGGCGGCAATTTTTAGGGGGGCGGCACCGCCCCCCGGAAGAAGGGACATTGAGAGCAGCGGCGGACAGAGCCATGCAGGGCCGCCAACAGAGGGGTACCTCCGGTACTCTTGCAGTGGTCCGGAGGACAGCAGGAGAATCGATGTGGGGGAGGGCAGTCTCCCTCCAGCAGCTGACAAGCCGGGACCAGGGGACAGCCTGGAGCAGGGAGAGGAGAGGAATAGGCCGGAGGAGGTGAGCTGTGCTGTGTTCTGTGGGATCTCCCTACCTCCCTCCCTACACTGGCAGATCGTATGGGACTGCAACCCCCCCCCCCCCCCTCCTTCTCCTTCCTGCTGCCCGGAGATCAGCAGCCTTTGGAGGAGGTGTGTGTGCAGCCCCATACGATGTGAGAAACGGAGAGGGGGAGAGAGAGAGAGAGAGAGAAGAGAGGAGGGAGGGGAGAAAGAGAGGGAGGGAGGAGAGAGAGAGAGGGGGAACAGAGAGGGGGGGAGGGGGAAGAGAGGGGGAGGGGTGAGAGAGAGATGAGGGGAGGAGGGGTTAGAGAGAGAGGGGGGGAAGGGAGAGGGGGGAGAGGAGGAGGGAGAGGGGGAAGAGAGAGGGGGAAGAGAGGTGGTGAGAGAGAGAGGGGCAAAGAGAGAGGGGGGAGGGAAGAGAGGGGGGGGAGAGGGAAGAGAGGGGGGGGAGAGGGAAGAGAGAGGGGGGGAGGGAAGAGGGGGGGAGGAAGAGAGGGGGGGAGAGGGAAGAGAGAGGGGGAGAGGGGAGAGAGAGGGGGGAGGAGGGGAGAGAGCAGGGGAGAAGAGAGAGGGGGGAAGAGCGGGGAGAGAGAGGGGGGGGGAGGGAAGAGAGGGGGGGAGAGAGGGGAAGAGAGAGAGGGGGGGAGGGAGGGGAGAGGAGCGGGGGGAAGAGCGGGGAGAGAGAGGGGGGGGGGAGGAGTGGGGAAAGAGAGGTCGGGGGGGAGAGAGAGTGAGAGGGGGAAAGAGAGAGAGAAATATATATATATACACACTTATTGACTCTCTCGCTCTCTCATTGGTGAGAAATGTTTGTGTTGCCTAGGGCAGCACAAAGTCTAAATACATCACTGCTCATGGGTATGGATGAGTTGGACCGTCTTCAAGGGACTCTCCTCCCTCTGGATACGGTCGTCTCCCTCGGTGTATATAGCGGGCATCCATGTAAAGGCCTCCTAAGTGGATGGGCCGGGTGCTTAGCAGCTACACTGGAACCAGCGTCAACCTCTGGACTGGTGTCACAAATAATAAAACTCCTGTGTCTTGAATCATGGGTCCTGGAAAGGAATGTTAGCTCACCAGGGAGCCAACGAAAAAATTGCCCATAGTGTAGCAGTTGTGTGTAAAACTATAGATTTATTATTCCACGGGGTTAAAGAACATAAAATAAAGTAAAAAGTGTACAAATAAATGGTATACGGACCATTAAATGGTAAAAAGATGGCCACCGGACCATTGATAGGTACCAGTGGCAAGACGTCATGGTGTAATGGCCCATTTATGGAAGTATGCTCTATATGTGCTCTGAGGTGCATTTTTTTTAATTAGACCCCAGTGGGGTTCATATACTAAAGGCAAATAGACTGTGCACTTTGCAAGTGCAGTAGCTCCAGAGATTATGAAAGGAGGTGAGACTTCACTTTGCATAGAACACCCAATTCCCATGCAAAGAGAACAAAAAAAGCAGCATTTTTGCTTACAGCTGTTTGGATGATGGAAGTCAGCAGAGCCTCACCTCATTTACTAAGCTCAGGAACAACTGCATTGCAAAGTGCTCAGTCTGTTTGCCTTCAGTCAAAATCCACAGCAGGATATGTATACAGCGCACAGTATTGCACCACAATTCACAGGGTGTGACTGCCCTGTCCATGGTGGGGTGTTGCCTTGCCAAATACAGTGCAGATGAGCTCTTCCACATTGAGGCCCACGAAAACAAGGCCTACAAGATGTGCACTTCTCCAGGAGGCCAACTGACCACAAAGGTTTGTACTAGCCAAGGCACAGCTGTAAATTTGGTGCTGACAAGCAGCTAGTTCCATCGCAGACAGCAGAGGAGGCCCACACCTCCATCGTAGAGAGAGCAGGGGAGGCACACACCTCCATCGTAGAGAGAGCAGGGGGGAGGCCCACACCTCCATCGTAGAGAGAGCAGGGGAGGCCCACACCTCCATCGTAGAGAGAGCAGGGGAGGCCCACACCTCCATCGTAGAGAGAGCAGGGGAGGCCCACACCTGCATCGTAGAGAGAGCAGGGGAGGCCCACACCTCCATCGTAGAGAGAGCAGGGAGGCCCACACCTGCATCGTAGAGAGAGCAGGGGAGGCCCACACCTCCATCGTAGAGAGAGCAGGGGAGACCCACACCTCCATCGTAGAGAGAGCAGGGGAGACCCACACCTCCATCGTAGAGAGAGCAGGGGAGACCCACACCTCCATCGTAGAGAGAGCAGGGGAGACCCACACCTCCATCGTAGAGAGAGCAGGGGAGACCCACACCTCCATCGTAGAGAGAGCAGGGGAGACCCACACCTCCATCGTAGAGAGAGCAGAGGAGGCCCACACCTCCATCGTAGAGAGAGCAGAGGAGGCCCACACCTCCATCGTAGAGAGAGCAGGGGAGGTCCACACCTCCATCACTGAGAGCAGCAGAGGCCCACACCTCCATCACTGAGAGCAGCAGAGGCCCACACCTCCATCACTGAGAGCAGCAGAGGCCCACACCTCCATCACAGAGAGCAGCAGAGGCCCACACCTCCATCACAGAGAGCAGCAGAGGCCCACACCTCCATCACAGAGAGCAGCAGAGGCCCACACCTCCATCACAGAGAGCAACTAAGGCCCACACCTCCATCACAGAGAGCATCTAAGGCCCACACCTCCATCACAGAGAGCATCTAAGGCCCACACCTCCATCACAGAGAGCATCTAAGGCCCACACCTCCATCACAGAGAGCATCTAAGGCCCACACCTCCATCACACAGAGAGCATCTAAGGCCCACACCTCCATCACAGTGAGCATCTAAGGCCCACACCTCCATCACAGAGGGCAGCGAAGGCCCACACCTCCACACAGAGGGCAGCGAAGGCCCACACCTCCATCACAGAGGGCAGCGAAGGCCCACACCTCCATCACAGAGGGCAGCGAAGGCCCACACCTCCATCACAGAGGGCAGCGAAGGCCCACACCTCCATCACAGAGGGCAGCGAAGGCCCACACCTCCATCACAGAGGGCAGCGAAGGCCCCACACCTCCATCACAGAGGGCAGCGAAGGCCCACACCTCCATCACAGAGGGCAGCGAAGGCCCACACCTCCATCACAGAGGGCAGCGAAGGCCCACACCTCCATCACAGAGGGCAGCGAAGGCCCCACACCTCCATCACAGAGGGCAGCGAAGGCCCACACCTCCATCACAGAGGGCAGCGAAGGCCCACACCTCCATCACAGAGGGCAGCGAAGGCCCACACCCTCCATCACAGAGGGCAGCGAAGGCCCACACCTCCATCACAGAGGGCAGCGAAGGCCCACACCTCCATCACAGAGGGCAGCGAAGGCCCACACCTCCATCACAGAGGGCAGCGAAGGCCCACACCTCCATCACAGAGGGCAGCGAAGGCCCACACCTCCATCACAGAGGGCAGCGAAGGCCCACACCTCCATCACAGAGGGCAGCGAAGGCCCACACCTCCATCACAGAGGGCAGCGAAGGCCCACACCTCCATCACAGAGGGCAGCGAAGGCCCCACACCTCCATCACAGAGGGCAGCGAAGGCCCACACCTCCATCACAGAGGGCAGCGAAGGCCCACACCTCCATCACAGAGGGCAGCGAAGGCCCACACCTCCATCACAGAGGGCAGCGAAGGCCCACACCTCCATCACAGAGGGCAGCGAAGGCCCACACCTCCATCACAGAGGGCAGCGAAGGCCCACACCTCCACACACAGAGGGCAGCGAAGGCCCACACCTCTCCATCACAGAGGGCAGCGAAGGCCCACACCTCCATCACAGAGGGCAGCGAAGGCCACACACCTCCATCACAGAGGGCAGCGAAGGCCCACACCTCCATCACAGAGGGCAGCGAAGGCCCACACCTCCATCACAGAGGGCAGCGAAGGCCCCACACCTCCATCACAGAGGGCAGCGAAGGCCCACACACCTCCATCACAGAGGGCAGCGAAGGCCCACACCTCCATCACAGAGGGCAGCGAAGGCCCACACCTCCAGACAGAGGGCAGCGAAGGCCCACACCTCCATCACAGAGGGCAGCGAAGGCCCACACCTCCATCACAGAGGGCAGCGAAGGCCCACACCTCCATCACAGAGGGCAGCGAAGGCCCACACCTCCATCACAGAGGGCAGCGAAGGCCCACACCTCCATCACAGAGGGCAGCGAAGGCCCACACCTCCATCACAGAGGGCAGCGAAGGCCCACACCTCCATCACAGAGGGCAGCGAAGGCCCACACTCTCCATCACAGAGGGCAGCG